TAATATCGATATATTTTTGTCAAATTTTTATGATATCGTCAAACATATATTTTATTCAAAAATAAAAACATCATCATTTTCTCAAAATCACATAAAGCCATATTATAACATCGACTGAGATAAATAATAAAATAAAATATTAAAATCATGATGTATCTCGCTGTATTGCGCGAGTACGCTTCTAGTTTTTAATAATATCCCTTCGTGGAAGGCTAACATTGACGAAGGACAAGATCCGGAATAGTCGGTGTGGCCTCCCGTTGGGCCCTTTTAAGCATGACGTTTTCCCCCCAAAGATGCATTGCATCAGCATATGTACGTCCGCTTGCATATACGTTGACTATCATTATGTTCTAGATTGGTCCCTCTATTATTATCAAATTACTATTTAGACCATCTTTCAATTAATTACCGTATGGGATAAATATTGCAATAATAATCAATTTATTATGCATCATTTACTTCCACACTATTGTTATAAATCTTTTTTAGTTAGTATACCGACAAAAACAAGCATTGAAATGAGTATCGTGCTCCTGTTTTAACTAAATATAAAGGTTGTCATATGTTATATTCTATAGTTTGAGGACCCATATGACAAATAAACATAGTGCAAGTGGTAAATTTGAAAAATCTCGCAGTTTTCACCAGAAATAGTTAATTAGCACCATACATTTAAATAGGTAATCATTGAAATGCAAGCTGTTAGCTGTCTCTAAATTAAAGAGATTGAGAAATGACTTATTTTGTACATTTATATATAGAGAGATAAATCATACGTATTATTTATAAAACGTATAAATTATAAACCTTTTTAAGTTAATCTCAAGCATCCATCCAGTCTAATATAAAACATCGATTATATAAGATTAGTTTTAATATTTTTTCATAAATGTTCAAATCATAATAAATGAATCATCGTTATTTATTATAAATATCTTAATTAATTAGTCTTTATAATTTGTACAATATAAGAATCTATCAAGTTCCAAGTTTTCTAAAGAGAAAAAGTCATAAAAATGTTACAATTGAACCGAAAAGAATCAAATTTTTTGTTAAGTCTGAAAATATTTTTATATGAAAGTTTGTTTATTTACTTATAAAGATATCATTCCAAGTCATCTCAGATCCAAAACCAATGACATTGCATTACAAGTATGCAATAAGTGTTTTGTGAATGCAAGGAGGACCCAAAACTTAGTTGATTGCTTCTTATATATGTCATACTGCGTTAAAAAATTTATTACAAATTTTTTAAAAGTTAAAATTAAGAAAATGATATTGATAGGATTCGAACTCGGTTCTGAGGTGAAGAAAAGTCTTGCAAACCAACTCTAGCAAAGGAAATTTGTGCCGTCATTGTAATTTCAAAATATATATCGTGACACATAACAAATTAATACAATAATATTTTTCACAATCTTAAAATTTTTTACACTACGATAGATGAACAATACGATAGGACGAGCCACTATATGCTCTACATTGGATATGCCTTTCAAGTCGTATCTCCTGTCTATCGATGTCGTTGGTGTGGTGGAATAATTGTAAATGTCCTGGCTCTACCAGCATTGGCATAAAGACATCCATGTTTGATTGATATAGTGTTGAATTGTTGGGTGAAATAAGACCTAAGAGTATATATAGAGATTCACAAAGGATCGTGTGAGAATATTAGTTAAAATGAGAAGCGTAAAAAGGTATATAAATCTTTGATCACTTTTAATCTCACCTCCATTTTATGAATTGACTTATCACAAGAATTAATCCAATGCGTCTCAGTGCACCCGCATTAGTCTTGATCCTCAATTAGGATTGATCCGAAGGTGGAAATCCCTTATTACTCTTCTCACCATAACTTTTATATATATATATATATATATATATATATATATATAGGTGGAGGTTCAAACGATAACACCTTCATTTTACGAGAACGCGAGGACCCTGTGATGTGCGGACGACGTGTTCTACGACTTCGGCCGTGTCAAATGTTGTCTACGTCTATGATTTAGCATCACATGTGATAATATTGATGGATTATAGTATCGTATGAACAATACCCTTATCATATGTGATAATACTTGTGAAGGGCTTAGTGGTATAAGGGCGACTTGGCCATCGAAAATCGTCTTTTTCTCTAATTTAGTATCACATATGTATCATATGTGATTGTTTATAGTAAAAGAGTGTTCTCGTGTTCTCATAAAATGAAGGTGTTCTCGTTTGAACTATTCCTCATATATGTATGTATGTATGTATGTATGTATGTATGTATGTATGTATGTATGTATGTATGAAAGTAGACTTGGATATTGTGAATTTAACACTCTGATTAAAGGAAAGAAAACTGATTAATACTAAAGTGCTAATTAAATCCATTTGCAACCCTTCAACAAGAATACTTTATTCATAATCAACAGAGTTAAGAAATGATTTACGAGAGACAAATTAAATGGAGAAAGTGACAAAATTAATATATGTTCGACTCAATTTCAAACTCGCCTTCAATTAATAATATAAATCCAAGTTTGACCATAAAAGCACATCATCCATAGCGTTATCCTCGGAGAAGATGAAATCATCGGCGCCTACGCCCAAAGGTGAGAACATTTTATCACTTGATAACATGATGCTATGATCCTTGTCCCATAAAAACTGGTCAATCCATAAACTTCCAGCCACTTCATCAGAACATTTTGGTGTTACATTTGCATCTGAGACACTCAACGAAGATGGTGATGATTCATTTGGGTCACTTATTGTTGAATAATAAGAAGACGATGATGACGACGACGACGACGAAGATTCTGTCAGCAAAATATCAACTTCCTGTTGGCTTTTTAAGCTTGGTTTTCTTACTACACATCCTGCTTTAGCTTTACCCTTACTGGGTTCAACATTTCCATCTTGCTCGGTTTGTAACACAGTTTGATCTTTCGGAGCCCGATTTTTCAAATGCGTATGCCAATAGTTTTTTATTTCGTTGTCGCTTCTTCCGGGTAATCGTGCAGCAATCATCGACCATCTACAGATATAACAACATAATAATATTAGTATTTAGAGAACATTAATCACCAATATTAGTACTAGCTAGGGTTTAAACTTACTTGTTGCCAAGCTTGTTATGTAAAGCGACAACTACATCTTCTTCATCTTTTGTAAACTTCCCATGTTTCACATTTGGGTGTAAATAATTCATCCATCGCAACCTACAACTTTTTCCGCATCTAGACAAACCTAAAATAAGAGTAACCACAATATATACATATATTATATAAGCAAGTGTATATATATAAAATCAGTTAATTTGAAACATTGAAGAACTTGGAATTAAAGCGGATGGTACCAGCCAACTTGGGAAGTTTACGCCAGTTAGAGTGGCCACATGTCTCTATATAGGCCCTTAGCTTGTTGTCTTCATCTTGACTCCATGCACCTTTCTTCATTCCATGTTTGTCAAAACACGGTGCCCTCACCATCTTAATTCTGGTGTTTCTCTCTCTCTGCAGTTCTTTTTCTGTGGCTAATGAAGACCCAAGTTTCTCAAGCTTATATATGCATACAAACCAGAACGTGTGACATAAAATATCAATATAAAAAGAAGACCATAAGAAACAACCGCTTACCTTTTATTTGCCTTGCTTAATTAATTAAACCATTAATTTTCCAGTTGGGAAAACCCCAAAATATGCTCTTTCCTTATCTATTGATTAATTAACATCATTCTGTCAGTTTCATTTCCAACTGTGTATATATATATATATATATATAGAGAGAGAGAGAGAGAGAGAGAGAGAGAAAAGAGAGGTATTTCATATTTGTTATTACTCTCAATCCAGTTCTCTCTTCCCCTGCAGCCTGCAGGTGGATACCACCTCCACCACTCTCGTTTTAAATTGGTCATCATCAATTATTTTATATATTAAAGATGCCGTATATATATATATATATGTATATATGTATGTATAGAATGATTAAAGTCTAAATACACCATGAGAACATTAATACATGATATTATCTATATTCTAATACGACATTTGATTGATTTTTGTCCTACTAATACGACATTTGATTCTTACATTTCTTTTCTCTTCTAAGAAGTTAAAAAACATGTGAACATTAATACATGATATTATCTATATTCTAATACGTGATATACCTACATACATATCCGGACAAAATTCTATATAACTTGCAATAAAAAATGCATGACATTAACAAATTCTAGAACATGATCTCATCTTCAATGACCAACTTCAGATACTAAATTGGTAGCTAATTTTGAAGTTTTTATCCCAAGATTGGCAGGAGATCTTCTTCAGCTATATATGATATGATTGATATTGATGGCTAATGGTGATTGCTGCCATGCAAGCATGGACTCCTCAAAATTGCCCAACGTAGCAATTCAAGATAAAGTTTAGAAATAAACTTGGGATCTGACAATCAACATAAATAATACAATATGTAATAACACAATTAATCGATGAAAAGCATCATAAATATTCACCGCTATATATAGTTTGGTTCAACCAAAAAGAGGATCTTATTTTTATTGGCATCTGAAATTTATGATACATTTTCCAGAAACCTTTTGATGCATCCGTAGATTGCTTCTGGACATGAGGACTAATCACAAACATTTTACCACTGAACTTACACTACTAAATGAATAACTTTGTATACCTACGGATTTTTCCACGGGACATCCGCCGCTAAAGGTAATTGTTACAAAACCGTTATAAAAGTTGGTGGGAAAATTGTTGGTGGACAATTCAAATCAATGACAGACTACCTAGGGATTTTCTGCGTATCCATTGTTATTTTCTCGAAAAAAATCGGGTTCTATCGAACCATTGGTATTCTTTGGGTGATCTATAGGTAATCACCGACTTTCCCTGGCTGATTTTTGTGGGTAAAAGTCATTTGTTTTGTAGTGTTCACTACAAAACTGGACCTATCAATGATGGATCAGACCATCGCTAATTCCCTAATTAATCCGTAGTTGATGTGTCGCATATCTGTCGCTTTAGTGGGCCAAAGAGTCTGGGTGATGCTATTAGCAAAGGATTAGCGATGAACAGATTCAACGACGTATTATCAAACGGAATACTTCAACGACAGACCAGATTATCGATGGATCGATGATGATGATAAGGATTAGCGATAGATCATATTTGCGACGGGTTTGTGAGGGCTATAGCAACAGATTAGCGACGGGTTCCCCAACTTTTAGCAGTGAAAATCTATCGTTGATCCATCGCTGTTTTTAGTAAATTTAAAAAAAAAATTAAATTATAATTTTTTATTTCCTGTATATTTTATACAAAACTCAGCTACCTCTAAATATTCAATATTTGAAAAAAAAAAAAAATAATTTGTTGGCAATTAAAAATAGCAACATGGTATATAACAATATAACCAACATACCTTCACTGCTGTTGCAAACCCTCTCTAATTAGCGACGAATGGGGTTGTGGTCTATCCGTCGCTAATACCCCTTTGTCTAATATTATAAGAGGGTGTTTGCAGATAATGGAATATGGTGGAAATGAAACCATCAAATGAATTTGAGTTTGAATGATTTAAATTGGAACGAAATTAAATGAGGTTTGGCACTACGACATTCATATATTTTCCAAAGAAGAATAACAACCGAGTATTATTGTTTCATAAATACTGATCTTCTAACAATTTGAGTAGCAAAATCATATATAACATTTTCTTCATATCCTTTATTCTCTAGGAACTCATTTTCAATTGAAATTAAAGTCAAATCATTTAATCAAGCGAGACATGGTCAATTGCACGTCATGAATCCTGATCAACCGTGATCAGAATTTATTTGAGTGAAAAAAAAAGGTCAACATAGTTTGCCACCGATGATGAATTTAGAAATGTGAACGAAACAGTCTAGTTAGTTACTGATATAGACAAGACTATTTATATTAACAAACCAAAAATAAAACCGTTAACAAAATAAAACCTTAACTTATTAAAATAAAATTACAAAAATTTAGAATGCAACGATATGAATCAACATCAGGTGAAACCTTAACTATGAAATTATCATGTTTTTTAATTTATGTCATTGGAGATTTGGTGTGGCAAAAAGAATCAAAGACAAAATAAGAATGACGGTAGAGGGGAGAAGATATCCAAAATTTGACAAATAATTAATGTGAAAACAAAATTAAGACAAAAAACAAAAGAAGTAGACGTGATCAATAACATTTTAATATGACTAATTTTATTAATTATTATATGATTTATAATATGATAATTATCAACAACATCATTTTTATACAAAACCTTAAAAAAAATTAAGGCATCTTTAATAAATTCTTTAAAATATAAAAAAATAATTGTTCTCTTTTTCGTTTCAACATGTTATCTATATTGTTTTCTGGAAATGGAGAAAACATAAAAAAATTAAGAGATTTTTTTATTAACCTGGATATCCAACCCGTTGTGTGAGCCGACTAATCCCAGAACGACCACCTGCTTTGCAGATGGCTCGGAGTCACCGTATTTGAATCTCTATGGCCACAAGAATATTTTTATTTCTTCTTGGATTTGAACCTGAGACCTTCAGGTACTTTTGACCTTTAGAGCCAAGCTCAAACCAATTAGGCACCACCCTAATGATTAGAATTTTGAATAAAGATAAATGATTTTTTATTTGTTGTCATCAATAAGAATGAATTATCATTATTTTATATGAAGTTTTTAAAAATTTGTTGATAAAATTATATAATATTTTAGTAATATAATTAATATTGAAATAATTAAAATAAATCTGTTATGATTAAATGTAATTTTTTTTATTTTTTATTTTTAATTTATTTATTTTATAGAAATTATTAAAAATATGCTATAGAAATGCTATAATAAAAGTCAACAAAGACAAAGAACATATCCATTGGTCACCTCTCTCCTTGAATAGTTTAAATCATTCAACAATTAAATATTTTTTATGTTCTTTTTATATTAATATCTTTTGTGAAAACACGTTTTGACTAGTAAGTTTTTCAAGTATTTGTTTTGTTAAAAATAAGTTAATTTATTTTTTTGATTAATGGGGTATTTGAAATTGCTTATGAAAAATATTTATTGACTTATTTCGGTATGACATCGATAATAAGTCATTTTAAGTGTTTGGATGAGGAAGAAAAAAATTTATTATATTGATATCATACCGGTAATAAGCAGTTTTTGATACGTCAATCTTTCCTAACTTATCAAATTCAACTTATTAATAATTTACCTTTTAGCTCTTTTCTAATACCCTTTACCCTTAACCATTTTCAGTTTTTGATAGGAATTAGAGAAATCAAACCCTACGTCTCCTTCCTCGAGCGACATTTTCTTGTCAGGATCTTCATTGCATCTCTTGTTTTTGCAATCGGTTTGACCTGCGTATTCACTAGCAATAAGTATATATTACATCCCTAAATTCGTGTTTTCTAGGTGTATTATTCATGATTCGATTTCGAACGATGAACTAAACCCTCTCCGAAAAAATGTTGAGAGCTTATAGTAACCTACCATCAATAACTTCCCCAACGATCATCATCTGTGCTCTTGAACTCTCCCCTTGTCAAGCCCTTAATTCCACAATTTCATCTTCATCCAGGAGATTATCCACCACATTTACCCTTTTATCCCAAATCCTTAATTACTTCTTTGACATCTTTTTTGGGTTTGAAAGATCATCCACCTCCGAGAGCTTTAGTATTCTTATTTAAGTTATTTTTTCTTAATAAATTATTAATGTTATTGATATAAATTTTTGTCAAAAATATTATTATAAATGATGAAAAATAAATATTTACATGTTAAAAAAATCAAATAAGTTAATAAGCAATCTCAAACACTCCTTATAAGTCAATAAGATGGAAAAATGTTCTTTTTGGTCATTTTACATGTATATAAGCAAAATTTGTCAAACACTAAAAAAAACTTACCAGCTTATTGTGTTTTAATACCACCATAAACTAATCCAAACACTTTTTATAAAACTCCGGTTTAACACCATATAAGGTCATAAACACTTTTACAAAAAAGAAAAAGAAAAACATAAGTTGTTTTAAATACCCAAACACTTCCTAAATATTTGGATGCGTATAAACTAGCTTATAATCTAGTTTATTGAAAAATTGCTTGAAGTAGTGTTTTAGTAGTTTATTGTCAGTTTTTTTAGTTATATCATTCATTTATATTAATTATTCTTTATTACTATTAGCTAAAAAACAAAATTAAAATATTACTAATATTAATAGATTTAATTAATTTCAATTATACATTAACATTATTTTTTAATTATTTACAATAATTATTAATCATGTCAATGATTTTCATACTATGTTGTTGCATTTATGCGGTAGTCAAGATATATTTTCCCCCTCCTCCACCTTTCGGTAGTTAGATTGTATGAAGTTGAAAATTAAATTGTATGAATTGGATATTTTAAATCGTATGAATTGGTTAGTTTTAATTTGTTTACAGTTTTGGTTTGT